CCTTCTGGAAGGAAGCATGTCTAAATAATTGAATCAACATCTGCATACTTGGCATTTCCAACTGTATGTCCCATCTTCACATTTAGCTTGTCCAAACCGAACCATTCCTCTTCAGTCTAAGACCAACTTCTGTTTTTAGTTTCTCCTTTTGCCACCAGTTGCCCATCTGCCATATTTTAACTGCTAGTTTTCTTTTACCCTCTCCCTTCAATGAGTTTCCCAGGCAAATAAGTTCTTTTTGGAGGGTAATATTTCTCCTCTTAGTTCCCACTTTTCCACTCTCAGCCTTGCCACCCTAAATCACACATCTATACTAATGGTATAGCTGGCCCAACCACAGGACAAGCCATAATCATTGTTGGTGACAACAGAGACAAAAAAAAAAAAAAAAAAAAATGGTGAGGAATCAGGAAGGTGGGGTTAGAGCCAGGCTAGTGTGTTTGAAGATAGGGGATGGGAGCTCAGGGCAGAGGAGGGAGCCACTATCCAGATCTCTGAGCCCATTGGCTTATGGAAAACTTGCCTCACCTGGCATATTGAGTGAGACCCAAGCACATTAATGTATTAACCCAACAATAACTCCTGAGAAAGGGGCTTCTAATAGGTGTGAGGGGCCAATCAGTTTCATTGAGCTTGACCCTGGGCCTTCAGGACTGCATCTGAGCAGGTGCTGATAGAAGCCACCTAACTCTTCCCACCCTTCCCTTTTTTTAAATCCTCACCCAAGATATTTTTCCATTTATCTTCAGATAGAGTGGGAGAGAGAGTGGGGGGTGGGAATAAACATCCATGTGAGAGAGACGCATCAATTGGTTGCCTCCCCACAACCCCAACCAGGGGTAGGGATCGGACTGCAACCAAGGTGCATGCCCTTGACCAGAATCAAACCCACAACTCTTTGGTTCATGGGTCAGTGCTCTAACTGCTGAGCCAAACCAGCCAGGGCCCATCCCTTCCTATTAAATTGGCATTCTCCACTCTGATCTAGTTGACTAACTCCCGAGTAGCAGCCCTGAGCCTGCCACCCACCTCTTCAGAGACCTAGACTAACAGTTCTCAACTGCCTTCCAAGCTTAAGGTTATCCCTTCACCATTATCTCATCTTCCTCTTCCACTCTTACCTTCTGATCCAGCTCAATTCTCTTGGCCCCAGATAGCCTCCACACTGTCTTATCTCCACACCTTTGCTCTTACCATTCTGTCTACCTGAAAGCATATCTACCACCCCCGCCAAATCTCTACCTGTCAAAGTTATAGCCTTCAAAACACCTCTAAGACCTTGGCCAGTGTTGCTAAGTGGTTAGAACATGGGCCTTTGCACTGAAGGGTTGAGGGTTTGATTCCTGGTCAAGGGCATGTACCTGGGTTGCAGGTTCAATCCACCTCACCCCCCTGCCCCAGTTGGGCACATGTAGGAGGCAACCAATTGATGTGTTTCTCTCACATCCATGTCTCTCTCTCCCCCCCCCCCCCTTCCTTCCTCCCTCCCTTCCATTCTCTCTAAAAGTCAATAGAAAAAATATCCTGGGGTAAGGATTAGCAAAACAAAACACCTCTCAGATGCAGCTAATTCCAGGAAAGCTCTTTTTTAAATGTGTTTTTAATTGATTTTTTAGAGAGAGAGATAGAAAAATCAATGTGAGAGAGAAACATCAATCAGCTCCCTCCCATGCACCCCTACTGGGGATCGAGCCCGTAACCTGGGCACATGCCCTGACCGGGAATCAAACTGTGACCTCTCAGTCCATAGGGCGACACGCCAGGCCAGGAAAGCTTTTGTGCCCTCCCTATTTTGGTTAGAGGCTGGTGCCCTCCCTGTGCTCCTTCTTTAACGCACCATGGTAAGTGCCTGGAAGGCAGGTATCATGTGACTGTCTTCTGCCTCTGCAGTTTTTCACATCAGTCCCACTCAATAATCACTGCTGAATGGAAGCGAATGGAATCAGGGCCTGTGGTGATCCGATTAGGTGATGCACCATCTCTAGAAAACCTCTCAGATAAATGTGGTTGGGGATTGTGACATGAGGACCATCGGTGGCAGGTTACTCTTGGGACCCCTGCTGTGTTCTATTGATGAGGTTTGTTTCATAAAAGGGAGATTCTCTTATCTGTGATATCACCTGTTTGTTCTTTCCTTCAGTATTAATACTTTGAAGGGTCAGGAAATAGGAAACAACCCCATTAAGCATGAGATTCAGAGGGCTCCGTCTGTGGCTGACTGCAAGATAATGGAGGCCAACACCGGTTTCAGCCCATTCTCCTCCCCTTTGCAAAGTTCTGAATGAAAAGCAGACTTCTCAGCTCCAAGCCGGCAGTTGCATTCAGATGATAAATGTGTCTCTGGACAGAGCAGCTTGTTGAATGATATTTACCAGGGTCTGTGTGAAGGGCCCTCACCTCCCAAGAGAGCATTTCAAGCCTTCAGCTGCTCAGCTGTTCAGTTGACGCCTGTGGATCGGTGAGCGAACTAAAACCTCATTCCCTGCTTTCCAGCAGGATGGAAGCAATGGCGATTTGTTCAGGTGCTCAGAAGTTTCTGTTTATCACCCTCACCCTGCCCGAGTCAAACCCCAGCAGAGAGAGAGATGAAATATGTGAGAAGCTTAGAGCCTTAAAGTGGGAGGGGTGGGGAAGTCAGTGCCAAGACCTGAGCTGCGTTCAGCCCTCGCTGTACCTCTTCATGCTCCTTGGTTGAGGAACTTCGCTTCTCCAAACAGTCTCCTCAGCAATAAGATGGACGTGGTAGGAGCTGGCTCACAGGGTTGTCATACAGGTAAAATTTAAATCTGTGTACAAACACTTTGCACATTATAGAATGCTCTCTGGCGTAAGTCGTTTATTCATTCAGTGATTTCTCCTGGGATTACTACCGCATGCCTGGCACTGTGCTGGGTTTGAGGAGCTGTGTCCAGATTGTGTGGATCAGGAAGAAAAGCAGGCTAATGACCTTTAACAGCCATCAGCATGGTTCTGGGGCAAAGGCTTGCCCCAAAATCATACCTTTGGGCTGTCTCTGAAGACTGCTCTATTCTTGACACTCCTCTAGGGCCTCAGCTCTTGGAACCTTCCCTGGTGACTGAGTCTTTGCAAGGAACATGGCTGAGTTGGGACTCTGGTGCCTCTTTACCAGGCATGTTAATATGGGTTCTCCAGAGAAACAGAACCAATAAGATACACACACACACACACACACACACACACACACACACGGATTTATTATAAGGCATTGGCTCACTGGTTTATGGAGGGTGAGAAGTCCCAAGGCCTGCAATTAGAAAGGTGGAGATCCAGGAGAGCTAATGATGTAAATTCCAGTTCAAGCCCAAGTCTAAAGGCAGGAGAAGATCAGTGTCCCAGCTCCTACCTAGACAGTTAGGCAGAGAGGAATTTCTCTCCCACTCTGCCTTTTTGTTCCACTGAGGCCCTCATGGATTGGATGAAGCCCATCCATATCAGGGAGGGCAGTTTGCGTCCATCAGCCTACCGATTCAAAGGTTAATCTCATCCAGAAACACCCTTACAGACACACCCAGAATAATATTTGACCAAATGTCTGACACCATGGGCCCAGTCAAATTGACCAAACAAACAAACAAACAAAAGTACCATCTTTCTAGGGTTGATGTTCATATAGAACAGTCAGGTTTATTAGGCAGCTTCACACACTGTCTCATTTCACTCCATCATGACCCAGTAAGGGCCTCATTATCCTTCTCTGTCGTGTAATCCTGATGTTATGGATTCACCGGTTTGGCTGTTTAAAGCAGGTCATGTTTAACTTAAACCTAAATCTTGATGCAAAAACCTCTTCCCTCTGGGCAACAGGAAGTCCATTCCTTTCCAGATCCCACTTCTCCAGCATGTGAGAGGCTGCCTGTCTTTGAACCTGTCTTCTGCTTCCAGTGCTCTGGAGCTCTGCCCTGGCTCTGCCTCTTCCACACTGCACACTTCCACACTGATCCTTAGACAGAAAAACTTTAAGAAACAAAGTTGTCATTTTGGCTGAGAGTTAGTGGACTCGATGTCGTCATCATTTCCATAACATCTGAGTGGAATCTTCGTGCTGAAGGAAGGTGGGGCTCCGCACAGAGACCTGCCTCTGCTGACCGGTCGGCTGTGATGTACAGTGAGGACTGCAGGTGGCACTGCTTGCTCAGAAACGTGCTCCTGTGGCGTCTGTCCTGGTCTCACAGGGCCCTAATGCACAGCTTTTACATTTAATAAGCCTTTGTCAGTTTAATAGTACTGATGAGTCAGGGCACTCCTGGGTATTTCTGTTTATTTAAAACGCATTGTGAGATGTTCTATTACATCCTGTCATAGGGGAAATATGAATTTATTAATTCAAATATTGTAACATCTCCATGCTGAGCTTGGAAAATGGGCTCCAGCCAGCAGTGTTTCTCAAGCCCACATTTCAAACAGTGGACACTGTGTCTGACATTGAAGCCACTGGTGTGCACGTCTGTCTCCTCGTCTAGAAAACGTCTTTTTGGGCTGTGTATCCCCCAGGCCTAGCATGGTGCCTGGCACATGGTAGGTGCTTAGGTACTATTTCTAGAATGAAATGGACTGGAACTCATGCTGGGAGCATTGCCACGTGGCCACACTCACCTGAGCTGTGCTCTGGGAAGAGGACCCTGCCAGTCCACCACAGACACAGCAAATGGTGCTGCTCCTTCACAAACAGTTGTTGAGCACCTGGTATGTGTTGGGCACGTGCTAGATGCAGGGGCTGCAGTGCTGGCTCCGGCGCAGCTCCTTCTGTGGAGAGTGCCCAGGCCAGTGGGGGCGACAGCCAGAAACAGTCCATAAGAGTACATCTCGGGAAGCATGGACAAAAGTGGGGGGATGCCAAGGAGGATGCCGATGCCTGGCCGCAGGGAGGCACTCCGTAGCAGGGAATTGTTGAGCGGGGGGAATGGCACAGGACCGCACAGTAGACGTCCACGCTCAGTGCTTCCTCTCTCTGATTGGCTTTCTCGGCCCTTTTCCCATAGGGCCTGTGCCAGCAGCGAGACAGAGAGTGAAGCCGGAGACATCATGGACCAGCAGTTTGAAGAGATGAACAACAAGCTCAACTCAGTGACTGACCCCACCGGCTTCCTTCGCATGGTTCGCCGCAATAACCTCTTCAACAGGTGAGTGTGGGCTCTGTCTCCCAGGCTAGCGCAGGGCAAGGTGCTCTGAATGCAGATAACATACTTTCGGCTGATGCTCCTTCCAGCTGTTTGGGCTTCTGGTCCATGTCATGCGTTTGCAGAAGTGAGCATGACACTGTCACAGCCCCATGCTCCTCGGGGCCTCCGTGTCACAGCAGCACCTCTGGGTCAAGTGAGAAAACAGTGCAGGCTTGATGTGGCAGTCGGTTTGGCTGTGATGGGAGGCGGTTGGCTGCTGCTTCACAGAGCCTTGGAGCTGACTTCCAGGTGGAAGCCAAACAGAGTAACATCACATACTTCTTTGCCAGCTTTGCCAGTAACTCATGGGCTGGGCACCTGTGTTGACCTTCCTGGCCTGAGGCTGAGGGAGGCCAGGGAGAGTGGGGATGGAGGGAGTGCCCGTGCAGACCCAGGCCACCTGTCTGCCCTGAGGCCCCATCTCCCTCTTACTTAATCCAGTAGGCCTCAGTGGATTTTAGATGAGTTGATGTTGAAATTGCCCTCCAGCATACCCCTGCATCTTTCTTTATTGGGGTGATAGCTGAGCTGCATCCAGAAAAACAGGGGAAGGCAGTTGGGGTTGAGAGATACCTGTCCCACTGGCATTTGGGTCACATTTGGGTAGAACTTTCCAGAAAGCCACCTGGGACTCTCTCAGGTCTCTGCCACATCCTGAGGGCCTAACTTTAAAGGGAAGCAGGTTGAGCTGGAACACAGGAGGGAAGTGATGGTGCTCTGGGTGAGGCAGCCTCGCCTGGCAGCCCTGCTGTGCGGGGCATTGTGCACCCTGTGTGTTCCTACTCCAGGCCCCGGTTTCCTCTCTTTATTGTGCTGTCAGGGTGACAAACGTGTGTTTACTTTCCCAGGGGTGAGCTGAATGGGATAGGAGCCAAGGGCCAGGGATGTAGGAACTGGCAACTTGGTTGAAAGGAGACAAAATTTTTAAGCTGGTTCACCCCCAGTTCCTCCTTCTTCCCTACCCCTTTAATAGGTGTCCCTTTTGATTTTTAGTTCTGTGTGGGGACGTGATCATGAGGAAGGAGGCATAGGGGTGGGCCTGGGCTCACATTCTCCAGGCCAGCTTCTTGGCCTGTGAGGCAGGTGATTCTTGACTCTGCCAGGTGATGGGGTCCATGGTTGTGAGCTAGAGTGGGAAGAGCTCAGGGCTCAGGGTCTGGCCTTGCTGCATGGCAGCGATGGGACGCTGGGCAGGCGACTTCACCACCTCAGCCTCAGATTCCTCATCGCTGAAATGGGGACAAGCTTCCTACTTTGCAGTGTTCCCTTAACATGGAAAGTAAAGGAGTTAATATACTGACCGGCTTCCTAATGCATAGATGGCACCGTACACACTTTCTGTGTCAAGCGGGAAGGACAGTGCTAAAGTTGAATTCTTACGTTAACATGGTGGATAGACTTGGGAAGGGATGACATTTGTATGTAGTTGTGCAGCAGTTGTTGACCACCTTGGGTTGTGGCCTCACCTGGCCTTCTTCCTGTCCCATTTCATGTCCTTTACATGAGCAAGTCCCAAGGGCAGGCCCTCAGGTGTTCATGGGCAACCTGACCACAGGCAAGCCTCTCCTCTGGGCCTCAGACACTACGGCAAGAAAGGGTCAAGCCAGGTGCACCTGGGATCCTAGCTGTTATCCCGGGATGGGAAGGGGTGTGAATTTTGCATCATGTAGTTACTCCTTGCAGAAAAACATTTGTCCTTCTGAGCAGTTCTGAGGTAGGTCCTATGAGTACAACACTCTGGATTAATTTATTGGTTCATTTAAGCAATGTCAGCTGTGCCTGCAGCCAGGCCAAGGACTGGGCCAGCCTGAAGCTGGGTGGCGAGCAGCCAGGCCACAGTATTGGAGCCTGCGCCTTGCTCTCTGACTGCTGTGCACCCAGTTCTCTCAGCTGAGCCTCACACGGCTTGGGGCCTCAGGCCTGCCCTCGGGTAAGAAAGGTTTGGAAGTGGTCTCTGCAGACCCTTCCAATCCTGATCTTGTAGAGGCTTCTGAGGGCAGAGCAGAAGAAAGGAAATAGCCTGTGTTCTTTCAGTTTCAACACAGTGAGCAGTAAGGCTCAGGAGGGGTTGCCATGCCACGTGTTCTGTGACATTTCCTGAGAAGCCCAGGAAGAGGGGTTGCTCTGGCCTTTATCTAATGGGAGCAGAGCTACTAGGGGAAACCACAGAGGCAGAATCATCCTTGTCAGTCAGAATGGTGCATATATTTGCAAACTTTGAGTCCTGCCTTGCATCTCGTGGCTGAGGGGCACATGCAGGCTGGGATGGTGGAGACCTACGCAGGAGCAGGTGCCAACGCTGGGTTTCAGGTTGTGCCTCCCAGCTACCGATCTGCCTGTGCCTTCCCACCTCGAGGCCCGCCATGTGTGCTCCCCTGCCCTGCTTGGGGTCCCAGGCCTCCCTCTCTGTCTGTCCCTTCCATGTCCAGGGATCTCTACTCTGAGGTACTGCTTTGCCACTGAACAGGATGGCTAAGTAGTGGCTTTTCTGCAGACTCCTAATATTGTCTGTAGCTGGCAAAGTGCTTGTGCCCTGAGCCCACAGAGGTGAAGTGGAAGCAGCCATGTGCAGAGGGCCTCGTGCATGCTGGAGCAGCCCCAGCTCCTCTCGCAGGGCTTTCCAGCTCAGTGACTCATGGGCTCCTTGGCCCTTTTGTTCCAGGTGGTTTGCTGGACTGGTTTGGCGATAATGCTGCTGCAGCTGATGAGAATCAAGTGAGCCTTGGCTTTAGAGATTTCTCTCTTGCCGCTGTAGGACTTGGTTTTTATTCTGCCTTTGCTTTTCAGTCTCTGCAACTGCTATTTTTCTTCTTGCCTGTGCACTTGGGCAGGAAACACATTTCCATGTCCAGCCCAGGGCAGGTTTCAATAGGGAGGAAAAATGAGGATTCTTCTCTTGTTTAGCATCCTGACCTGGGGCCCTAGGTGAGCCCCACAGGGCAGAGCAGTAGCCCTCAGAAAGGCCTCTGCCTCTTGTCCCTGAAGAAAGTAATGCTGAGGGCTGGAAGGCGTGTGTGTGTGTGTGTGTGTGTGTGTGTGTGTGTCTGTCTGTCTGAACCTGGGGCCAGTCAGCAAATTACAGTTGCTAGAGAAAAGAAGAATGGGACAGACTTTCAACTGCACCTGGATTTTAGGTCCCAGGGTGGTACCTTGGCATTGAAGGTGCGCCCATCCAGGATCAATTAGGACCAGTATCCCAGGGCAATATTCTGGTTTCTGTTGCCACCAGTGATACAACATGCTTCCTAGGTCTTCACTTTTCCACACTATGGCTGTACAGGTGACAGATGTGGAAAGGGGCTTTCCTGCTGCCCAGAGATGAGTAGCTAGAGCTGAAACAGAGGACAAAGAAGTACTGTCTCCCCACCCTAAAGAGAGGTGCCACAACCGGCCAGAGCCCTCCTTCCGATCTCTGTGACCTTCAGTTAACACCTCAACCACATACCCCAGGCTCTAAAAGAAGAATGAGTTGAGCCCTGGCCGGTTTGGCTCAGCGGTTAGAGCATTGGCCTGTGGTCCAGAGAGACCCGCGTTCGATTCCTGCTAAGGGCACGTATCTTGGTTGTAGTTTGTCCCCGGCCCTGCATGGGTCGTGCGGGTGGCAGCCACTTGATGTGTCCCTTTCACGTGGATGTTTCTCTCTCTCTCTCTCTTCTTCTCTCTCCCTCCCATTCTATCTGAGTGGAAAGATGTCCTTGGGTGAGGATAAAAAATAAAAAAAAAGGGAAGACTGGGTTCAGGAATCTGCAACTGGGATTCCTCGGCCTGGTTGGGGGTTCTCCAAGAGAATCACAAAGATGGGGGATGCTGAAAGAAGAGAGAGTCATCACCATCCCATAGGACCAGCCTCCCTTGGTTGGTGCAGAAGGGAAGAGACTAAAGAGAAGGGCCAGGCAAGAGTGGGCCCTCCATGGCGTGGTCTGCATGTCCACATGTAATGTGGTGCAGACACATGCCTTTCCCCATGGGTAGGTCACATGGGCTCAGTCACTTGTTGGTTCCCCACTCAGGAGGCTGCCTGCTGCAAAGAGGACCTCGGCAGTAAGAGTTATGGGATGTGTAGCCAGTAGCAGGCTAGGGGGACAGGGGAGCCAGAGCTGGCTGCCCTTGTTGGGGGTGGGGTGCACATGGGAAAGCCCCTGAGCCTCAGAAGCAAGGAGACACATGCTAACAGTGCTTGCCCTCCTCTCCCCCACCCCATCTGCCCTCAACTCCACAGTCAGGCCTTGACAGCAGGGAGGGAGGAGTGGTCCCAGAGCCCACCTGCCCGCCAAAATCCATGAGCAAAAGTCTGGCCTGCAGTGGAGACAGGAGGGGATGTGGTGTGCACTGCATAGGAGGCTGGGACTACTTCTGCCCAGGATTCCTAAAGGCCGGGAAGAGCAGTGGCTGGAGAGAAGTAAATCTGTTCTCTCAGGATCAACCTAGTTAGTAAGCTAGAAACCTTGCAGGCCTGTGTCCCTCTCATTCGTGCGTGCGCGCGTTCACGTTGGGCCTGCCTCCAGTGCCACTCTGAGCAGCTACAGCAAAGTCCACTGTGGGCTGGGACGCCCTGTACAGATGGTGTTCTGTGTATCCTGTATTCCTAGGTCTTGGCATTTTTCTGTGGTGAGGCAGAGTGGAGGAGAGAAACTTTGGGTCTGGGGCCAGACAGACCTGGATTTGAAACTTGGCTCTACCTTTTATTAGGTAGTGGGTAACCTTGAGCCTTTGATTTTTTTCATCTGGAAAATGGGGGTAAAGATGCTTGTGGGTAGAGTTGTTGTGAGGATGCAGTAAATGTGATGGTGAATAGAAAGACTCTGCTGTGTAGTAAGTAGTTTCTTTCTCTCCCTACTTGGGTCTGAGGTTTCTATGGCACCAAAGTGGGCAAATCAGCCACTTTTTGAATCACATCTTTACCCCAAAACCTGACTGAATAGCTTGATGCTTCCTCCCCTTACAACCTCTGTCTGTCCACC